TTCCCCAAACCCCCCACCCTCCCATACCCTCCCCCATCTCCCCAAACCTCCCATACCCTCCCTCAACCTTCCCAGAGCTGAGTACAGGCTTAATTAAAATTTTTCAAAGAAAATAAAAAATAAAAAAAACTTAAAACACATATAAATCCTAAACAAATCTAAATACATTAAATTAAACAAATTATCTTCTCTAAAAGATAATAATTGCAAACATTAAACACACATTATAATATACTCTAAACCTTTTCTAATATTATACTTATATTATTATCCATCATTCTATAAAGAATCCCCAAAACACAAATTTAAACATTACTTTCTTTAAATATCTATACCTACAATATAAAATCTAATCTCCCTCTTTCTTTACTCTAGAACACAAAAATAAGCATATAAACATTCATTATACCATCAAGACTGGATACTCATTTAAATAGTTAAACTAAATACTTATATTTAAACTTCTTATCTAAAATTTTCATTCAATCTCCATAATCTTCTTCCCTATCAAAAAAAGGACTTAAAAAACATATAAATCCTAAACAAATCTAAATACGTTTAATTAAACAAATTAACTTCTCTTAAAAATAATAATAATAGAAAAAAAAACAATCTTTAAACAAACTATAGTATACTCTAAACCTTTTCATATCATACTTATATTATTATCCATTATTTTATAATATACTCTAAACCTTTTCATATCATACTTATATTATTACCCCAAAACACATATTTTAAATATTACTTAAAACATTAAAATTCCCTTATACCTGTTTAAATCTTTACCAATAACAAATTCCTCCACAATAAACACATTCCTTCTCTTATCCATAAATCTCTTAAAGGTAATTCCAAAAAGTTTCAATAGTCTTCTGAATACTTAAACTAAGTACTTAAACTTAAACTTCTTATCTAAAATTTTCATTCGATCTCCATAATCTTCTCTCCAATAGCCAGTTCCATCCACTATAAACACAATCCTTATCAGTCTCTCTTGTCCATAAACCTCGAAAAAAATGCTTTAAAATCTGCCCTTGAAAGTAGCTCCAAAGAATTTGTGAATCCTGGTTCTCCCACAAACTCAGGAACCAGTAGCTGTGAAGCTTCCTTAACCTCCTTCTTCTTCTTTTTTTTTTTTTATTGAAATTTTTTTTAATTTTTTTTACAAAAAACAGAAAACAACAATACAACAACAAAAAAACAAAACAAAACAATACAACCCTCCCCCAACCCTCCCCAAACCACCCACGCCCTCCCCCCCAGAGCTTCCCAGAGCAGAATATAGGCTTAGTTTAAAAAGTTAAAAAGATTATATATATATATAAAAAATTAACAATAATATATATATATATATATATATAAAAATAAAAGTTATAAAAAAGCTAAATGATATTTTTTTATATCCAATTTAAATTGTATAAACTTTATCCATTTATCCCAAACAGCAAAAAATTTCTCTTGCGATTGTTCTTTTAAGAAAGCCGAAATCTTTGCCATTTCCGCCAAGTAGGATACTTTAAAAAACCACTCCTGCAAAATAGGCAAAGATTCCTTCTTCCAGTACTGTCCTACTAGCAACCTTGTGGCTGTGATCAAGTTCAACATCAATATAACCTCCTTTGCATCACAATCAGTAACTATACCTAACAAAAATAGTTGTGGAGTAAATTTTACCCTCTTTCTAAAAAATCTCTAAATATTCCACCATATCTTAATCCAAAAAGCTTTTATATTTTTACACGACCACCAAATATGATAATAGGTGGCATCCAAACAACCACATCTCCAACATTTAGGCTGTAGGTCAGGATACATAAGAGACATTTTTCATGGATCAAGGTGCCATGTATAAAACATTTTGTAAAAATTCTCCCTTAAATTCTGGGCTTGTGTGAATTTAACATTCCTCACCCAAATAATTTCCCAAATATCCAGTGGAACTTCTCCTTCTTCTGTTGGTCTTTCTCTTTACGTTTATATGTTGCACAAGTTGTCCTCTGCTCTTTCATCTCGACTTGTTGAGGCACCTCAGACTGAAATTTCCCATTTTTAATTAATATAGGCTCTTCACACTGCAATTCTGCGCTTAGAGGTTTCTCCAAAAAGTTTATAAATCCTGCTTCTCCCGCAGATTCAGAACCAATACTTGTGAAACTTCCTTGACCTTCTTCTGTTGATCCTTTTCTTTACAATTGTATGTTACACAGGTTGTCTTCTGCTCCTCCATCTCTACTTGTTGAGGCCCCTCAAACTGAAGTTTCCCAATTTTCATCAGTGTAAGCACTTCAGACTGCAATTCTGCCTTTTTATCTTCCAAAGCTTTAAACGTGGTAGGTGGCGATGAGCATACCCCCAGGACCGAAGTATAAAAGTCTTTTGCTTTAGAAACAGTATTAAGACTATAACGTATCCCCAGGTAACTCACCACCATTCCAGTCGGAACGTCCCATCTAAACAAAATTTGTCTCTTTTTAAGTTCGTCTGCTAAAAAAGCAAACTCCTTTCTTCTTCTTAAAATTTTAGATGGGATCTCCTTTAAAATTATAACATCTTGTGAAGCAATTTGAAACCTCTTCTTATAAAAAGCTTGTATAATTTCATTGCGCAGAGATCTTTTCCCAAAGTAAATTACCACATCTCTTGGCAAATTCTTTTGCTCTGCCACCACAGAGTTAACTCTAAATGTCTGTTCCATTTCACTAAGTATTTCCTCTTTTTCTCTATTCAAAATCACAGCAAAGTCCTTTGCAACCATCTCTCTCAGATCTTCTTGCACAGACTCACTCAAACCTCTGATTCTTAAGGCATATTCCATTTGTTTATATTGAAGCATAAGAATTTCATCTTGAAAATTTTTCATCTCTTTTTCCATACTTTCAAATTTTCCCTCCATCAATTCCACTTTTTCTACTACCTCTTCTACGCGAGAATTCAACTTTTCAAGAACAGAGGCAACTCCTTTTAAAGCCAAAACTATCGCCTCAAAGTCTTATTGTTTTCCTCTAAAATCTCTTTCATTTCTCCCCTAATTTAAAATACAACGTCTCCCATCATATCTTGCAAATCCTTCACCATTGTTGACTGTGCCAAAGAAGAAGGTGAAGCTATTAATTTAGGTTGTTGCGCTGATGATGACACCGAAGAAGAAGCCACTTTAGGAGCTGTAGGGATTACTGGACGCTTTGGAGCCATCTTAAAAAAATCTTTACTCCTTCTTGGAAATTGCAAGAATTAAGCAAAGAAAAAAAAAGAATTAACTCCATAAAATCAAAAAAAAAAATCCTTCAAAAGGAGATCATTATAATAAAGAGAAAGGAGTTGAAAAAAAAGAAAAGAGAGAAAGAAAAAAATAACAATTAAATAGAAAAAATCCATTCCATTTTTTAAAAGTACAAAAAGTACAAAAAACAAAACAAAAAAATTAAACAAAAATAATAATACTAACACTCCATTCCAATCATTAAAAAAAACAAAAAAAAAAAAAAAAGGAAAAGGGAAAGGGAAAAAAGAAACACCAAGAAGCCTGCCGGTCACCATTCTACCTTCTGAAAAAAAAAAAAAAAACACCGAGAGGCTTGCCGATCGCCATTTTACTTTCCCTTTCAACAAAGGAAAAAATAAAATAAAAAGAGGGAATATAAAAGTAAAAATAAATCTTTAAACTTAAAATCCAAATAAAATCAAAGAAAGCAAAAACTAAATCCTCTACTCAGCTCTGTCCGCTTCTAAAAAAAACTCACCAGTTAACTTTAATCGCGGAGGTGGTTGCAACGGCTTGTTTTGTCCCTAGGGACAAAAGCAGCTGGGAAGCGGAGACAGTCTGAACTCCGTGGGAGCACTCCTTTCGTCCCCCCCCAAAAAAAACTTTGGGGGAGCATAAGAGGCTCTACCACTATTCAGACAACTCTCTACCCCCCCCTTTGCCCGGGAGGGGGTTTTTGAACCGCTGAACAGCTGATGTCCGCTGTTCATAGCGATTCAAACACTTACCCAGGAGGACGGCTACAAAGTAGCCGCCATCGCGTGCGCAGATCCACCGGAAGCCGCAGGAGTCCTTTTTTCATTCCAGAGAATTTCACGTTAGATTTTAGATCAGGGCTGGGCAACCTTGGCTCTTTTATGACTCGTGCACTTCAATTCCCAGAATTCCTGACCCAGCCTGGCTCAGCTTGGAAACCTCTCCCTTTCCCCTCAGCATGGCTGGTTCAGGAATTCTGGGAGTTGAAGTCCACGAGTCACAAAAGAGCCAAGGTGGCCTGCCCGTTTTAGATTTTCACACTTATATTTGACTTTCATATTCACTTCTGAAAATTAATTTTTTTAAAAAATATATAATTTTTTTAAGTTGGCAAGAAAATTTCGAAGGAGGCAATTTCAAACGGACAAACTCCAGGAGGCAAGAGATTCCAATTGGCAAGGAAACGTTTTCTCACGCTACACACTTGTCACGGTTTTTAATCCTTGGTGGAATTTTCATGGGCATCTGAAGGCCTGATTGTCAGATAAAAACCTTTCCCATATCCTAAGCCCTGATAAAGTTTCTCTCCAGTAAGAATTCACTGATGGTGAAAAAGAGTATTCTTTCAGGCAAACCATACATCACACTCCAAACATTTATGCTGCATCTTTCCTATATGGATTAGTGTATGATTTTTAAGGGATGGTTGACAAAAAAAATGCTCTCATGATCTACGGGTTTCCAATCCCCCCCCCAACTTTTAGGAACTCTTACATGACTTCTAAGGGTGAATATCTATGAAAAACTGTTTCACCATGATGTAAGAGTTCCTAAAAGGTGGGGGGGGATTGGAAACCCGTAGATCATGAGAGCATTTTTTTGTCAACCATCCCTTAAAAACCATACACTAATCCATATAGGAAAGATGCAGCATAAATGTTTGGAGTGTGATGTATGGTTTGCCTTTTCCCATGTGAGTTTTCTGATTATCTCCCTTTTGAGCAAAACAAAATTTCTATACTTTATGAATCTTTATGGCTTCATTCTTTGATGGATCTTTTCATGACGTCCAAGGTGTTCTTTCCGGGAAAAGCATTTGCCACACTCCAAACATTTATACGGCTTCTCCCCTGTGTGGATTCTCTCATGAACCCGAAGCAATCTTGCTGTGAAAAAACATTTCTCACACTCCCCACATTTATAGGGCTTCTCCCCTGTGTGGATTCTCTCATGAACCCGAAGCAGTGTTGCTCTGGGAAAACTTTTCCCACACTCCCCACATTTATAGGGCTTCTCTCCTGTGTGGATTCTCTCATGAACCCGAAGCAGTGTTGCTGTGACAAAACATTTCGCACACTCTCCACATTTGTAGGGCTTCTCTCCTGTGTGCCCCCTCTGGTGTCTCCGGAGTTCAGCAGACTCCACAAATCGCTTGTCACATTCTGGGCATTGATAGGGCCTGTCTCCGGTGTGAAGTCTCTCATGTCGAATTAGGTGTGTTCTTTGGGAGAAACATCTCCCACACTCTGGACATTTATGTGGTTTCTCTCCACTGTGGGTTCTCTGATGTATCAAAAGTCTGCCTTTCTGAATGAAAGATTTCTCACACACTGAGCCTTTACGGGGCTTCTCTCCTATATGGACTTGCCAGTGACGTCTAAGATAAGATGAACAAATAAATGCTCTACCACAGTCTAAACATTTGAATTTTTTTTCCCCTCTGTGAATTTTCTCATGATGTCTGAGGGTTGCTATCATATAAAAAAACTTCCCACACTCGATGCACTGATAGGGTTTCTCCCCTGTGTGGATGATCTGATGTCGAAAAAGATGTCCCTTTTGAGAAAAACATTTCTCACAATCGTTACATTTATAGAGTTTTTCTCCCGTGTGCGTCTTTTCGTGTCTCCGAAGTGTGGAAGAACTCCCAAATCGTTTCTCACATTCTGGGCATTCATGGGGTCTTTCCCCAGTGTGGATTCGCTGATGTCGCTGCAGGGATGATTTGCGGGAAAAACATTTCCCACATTCTAGGCACGTTCTGCTTTCCTCCTCTGTGTGTGTTTTATTATGATTGCAAAGAGACGAACTCCGAGTGAAACATTTCCCACACTCTAAGCATTTATAAGGTTTTATTTCCATGTGAATTTTCCTCTGGATCTTGACACTTCTTTTTCGAACAAAAGATTTCCCACATTCCAGACGTTGATAAGGTTTTTGTCCAGTGTGGATTTGTTGATGTTTAAACATCTCTGAGTTTTGAGAAAAGCAAAGCCCACATTGCACACAATTGCAGGGTTTCTCTTCAGTTGGGCTGTTCTAAGGCCTGGAAAAACACTGAGGCCTTCCTGAGGTCTCTTTCCCTGGTGGATACACTAAGGAGCTCTGATGTCCCAGCCTTTAGCAAAATGCTTCCCACACTCTCCACATTTGTAGGGCTTCAGTCTGGGGTGGCTCTGGAGATGCTTGGCAAAGCTTCACAACCACGAAACGAGTTTGCACACTTCAAATACAGATGGGATCCATTCCTCATGTCCAGCTTCCGGTTAATCAAAAGGAGGGATTTGTGAGCAAAGGATATCCCGCACTCAGAGCACTTGAAGAGTCTCTCCTGGTTCCTCTGAGGGGACCTCCTATTGAAGTATCTAACAACTGGATCTCTGTCCACTTTTCCCAGTGCCACCTGCTGCATGAAGAAAAAAGAAGATTCATGATGGCTGACAGAACAGAGAGAGGTCTTAGACATATATACCGCTTCACAGTGCTTTACAGAATCGGCTTATTGCTCCCCAACAATTTGGGTCCTCATTTTACTGACCTCGGAAGGATGGAAGGCTGAGTCAACCTTGAGCCGGTGAGAATTGAACTGCTGGCAGTCAGTAGAGTTAGCCTGCAATACTGTATTCTAATCACTGCGCTATCACGGGTTTTCCCTGTTGCTCCCCATTTGCCTGCCCGAATTGTTAATGATCCCTGCCTTTTCCTTTTTTTCAGTTGTCTGTGTGTGGTGCTCTATGACAGGGCTTTTCAACTGGTGGTATGGGTAAAACTTGTGGTACATTAACGAGTGGCAGGTGGTACGCAGCCCTGCCTAGCCAAGTGTAGTGGGGGAAGGAAAGAGCCAGCGCAGGGAAGGACTTACTGTGAGAGAGTCCTCTGGAGCTGCAGAATGGCTGGGGCGAGGCAAAGGCCCCAGGCTCACCCTCCCCCATGAGAAAGGAGGAGGAGGGGAGTGGAGACAGGAGAGGCTATAAAAGGAGGCAGTTTGGGCAGGAGAGGAGAGAGAAAAAAGCAGCAGCCTTGGGAGGAGGCGGAGTCAGCTCTAGCTGCACCAAAGGGAAAGAAGAAGGAGGAGGAGGAGGAGGGTGGGGGAGAGGAGATGAAGCAGGCCCGTCATGAGCCGATCTACAACTGCTGTGGCAGCCACCTGTGCTGGCAGCAGCATGAAACCCCCATTTTCCCAAAGGGAGGCTGACAGCATCCTTTGGCCAAAACTTCCATCAGGTGGTCCTTCCTGCCCAAGATAGACTTTGGGGTCAAATGTCAGCCAGTTTCCTTCAGCTTCATGTGTTGCCTCCACCCAACCACTGGAATCACTTCACCAAGGGCAGCAGCTCCACAAACCATGGTTAAACTAGCAATGCTTTAGTTGAGGGATGTGTAATTTCTGCTCTGAAAACTGATCCCCTCTTTGGGAGAGTGTGGAACTCAAATTTTATTTCGTGGCCTTTACAGTTTAACAAAATTATAGTACAGTATTAACAAGTTTTTCTCCTCTCATATTTCATCATTTTCCCCTTCGGTGTCATTGAATTCTGCAGTTTGAGGTCTTGCTCAAGTCCAACATCCATCCTGAATCCCTTCCTCTTCCTTTTCCACCCCATTCCCTCTTTCTCCCTTTTCTCATCTGCATCTCTGTTCATTTTCCCCTTCTTTTCCCCTCCATTTCTCTCCCAAGCTTCTTCTACCATTTGCTAGTTTCCTTTCTAAATCAGCCACCAAGAAGCAGCTTCCCCATCACAGCCTCTTCCGAGGTGAAACCAGGGAAATAACGGTTTTTAGAGATTCTACCCAGCTTGGTAGAAACCAAAGAAAATCAAAGCATTGAACAAAATCCAGGATATTTGTTCCTCTCTATTTAGGTTAAGCAGAAGGAAAGGGAATCTTTCCTGGGTTGGGGGAATATGAGGGCTTAAATCCCAGTTGCAAAGGAGGAGAGATAAGAAACATATCCAAGACACATAAAGGACTGAAATGCCCACACACCAGGGGTGTCAAACTCAATTTCACTGAGGGCCGCATCAGCATTGCGGTTGCCCTGGGGTGTGTGTGTGTGGCCAGAGTGGGTGCAGTCTACTGGGTGGGTGTGGATGGAGTGGGTGTGGCCTACTGGGTGGGTGTGGATGGAGTGGGTGTGGTCTACTGGGTGGGCGTGGATGGAGTGGGTGTGGCCTACTGGGTGGGCATGGCCAGTTCTACATCATTCACGTCAAAGGTGCCTATGGGGGTCTGGGCAGGAGTGGGATAGATCTGAGGGTCTCTGCCAGAAGGGGGTGGGACTGGGGCAAGTGCCAAGGCATGGTTCACTGGGGAAGTGTCAAGATGGCCACCACAAAATTATACATTGGCTCTCGGCTGGCCTGGGCCAGGGCCGTTCCTTCAGTGTTTCCAGGATGACTTTGAGGGCCACATGAAACCACTTCGCGGGCCGCATCCGGGCCCCGGGCCTTGTGTTTGACATGTCTGCCATACACTAACACTCAAAGTTTAGGGAACAAATAGGGTGAACTTGAAGTATTAGTATGTGAAGGCAGATATTATATAGTTGCCATTATTGAAACTTGGTGGGATGAAACTCATGACTAGAATATACTTAATGTGGAGAAAAGGAAGGTTTTACATATAGGCAAAAAAAACTAAAGGTGCAAATAAAGATTACGGAAAAGCTGCCTCAAAAACAGTTAACTGTGAGAGGGACATTGGAATCAAGTGGCGAATCACGTAAACATGAACCATCAGTGTGCAAAAGCATCCAGAAAAGCTATTATAATCCTTAGCTGTATAAACAAGAGTCATAGAATCAAAATCACAAGAAGTATTAGTATTGAGGTGGGCAGAAAGTTCAATATATCTTAATAGGAATGCTTGTTGCTGATAATAGTTAATAGATGATATTAAGTCTGGCTGTGTAATGTAACCTAAATCATATAACCTGTGCGTCATAATTATAGAGATGTGTTAATGCTATGTAGAAACCATTTTACAAGAAGTGTCAGTGTCAACTAAAAGTCACAGATGTTGTAAGATAGCACCCGTGAAGAAAGGTGTGGTAAGACAACCGTTTGGGCGAACTTCTCCTTTTCACTTATGTAGCTGCAAGATATAAACTTCTCTGTTTTAGTGTGTCAAAGGTAGATAAGGACCACCCTATGGCTAAGGCGTGAGTGGTGAATGCTATAAGAATTAACCCCTGAGAATAGCTCAGGGTTCAGAATCTGTCATGCTAATACTCTGAACCATTGTGCACAAATAAAAACCTGTTTTCTCCAGCCCTTCGTGGTCTTGTCTTCTGATGTAAGTATTGTGGTTTTCCACTACAATTATCTGGCGACCGCGGCAGGACGGCAAGGAATCTTGGGGCTCTCTGGAGGACCCACCCCGGTATAAGGAGCCTGCAGTGAGGAGGGGAACATCCCAGGCGCCATCGGACCTTTTCTTCCGAGGGACTTCCCTGTGTCACAGGGCTCTGACATCAGCGGTTGGCCACTCCAAGAACCACTGGTGAAGGGTGAGGAGACCAGGCATCTTTCCAGCCGGCTTCAGGACAGAGGATTCGCCTGCAGGCAAGTATTGAGGGAAATAGGGAATCCCTCCCTGTAAGCAGGGACGGAGGAGAGGACTGATCACCCTCTCTTTAGGATAAGATGGGAGGAATTGTTGCGTGTGTTTGTTGTGAGTGAATGGTGTTTGAATTCCCCATCGGTGACCGTTGAGTTTCCGGCGCCCTGGGTCTAGCGCGTATAAGTGAAACCCTCAGTGTTATCCCGAGTGGAAGGACCCCTTACCTTCCTCTCATCCCTTTTCCTCATTTGTCTTGTCTGGTGCCCTGGGAGGCTCATGGGAGGTGGTGAAAGTGTACCCCTTACTCCATTGGGATGTATGCTACAGCATTTTAAGTCTGCTTATGAGACACAGGATTATGGTATTAAGTGGAGCAAGCATAAGTTGAGGAATTTCTGTGAGATAGATTGGCCCAGCTTTAACGTAGGCTGGCCAAGTACAGGGACACTAGATCCATACATTGCACAACAGGTACACCAGCTAGTGTTCAATCCCACGTTAGGGCACCCAGACCAGGCACCTTATATTGATGTGTGGCTTGGCTTGTTGCAAAGACCTCCCCCATGGATCCAAAAGTGTAACAAAGAGCAGTGTAGACTTTTGGTGTCACGCACCCTGCCAGTTCCAAGGACTAGAAAGCCCATTCCAGTTCTACCAAGCAGTCCAGAAGAACTGCCACATCCACCACCGTACATCCTCCACATGGATTGAGAGGAACCCCAGGGACATCATCGTCAGCATTGGGATCCATGTGGCGCCTGGACACGCTGTCCCCAATGATAAAAGGCCTCCATCTTGAGGAAAGGAAAGGTCAGGGACAACCACCAGCCCAAGTAGAAGTCCAGGATCAAGGAGCCCAAGCAGGACCCTCGCCCCAAGCAACAGAAGGGAGCTCTGGGACTGAGGAGAAGGAAGAGCCAATTGAGGAAAGGGAGGAAGAGGAGCCAGTAGCTGAAAGAACCAGGGCAAGGACCGAGCTAGTCTCTCTGAACGCTCCCCTCAGACAAGTGGATCAGTTGGTTGTTAATAAAGATGATCCTACAGACACAGCAACTGCCCCTCTATTCCAACATGTGCCTTTCACCACGTCAGATCTTCTCAACTGGAAGTTTCATTATGGTCCATTTAGTGAAAAGCCCAATGAAGTTGCAGATTTGATTAAGACTATTGTAGACACCCACAACCCCAATTGGATGGATATGCAACAGCTTATGGGAACATTGTTCAATCCGGAGGAAAGGGAAAAGATTAGAATAGCAGTGGCAAAAATCATAAAACCCGATTTGCCTTCACTTTACACCATTGAAGACTATGTCGAGGCTAAGTTCCCTTCTAAAGATCCCAAATGGAATCCATATCGTGACCTCCAAGAGTTGCAGGCTTATCAGCAATTAGCAGTGCAGGCAGTCCGTGCAGCAGGGAAACCAGCTGTTAATATGTCTAAACCATCTTTGGTGGTGCAGGAAGCCACAGAAAGTCCAGAAGCATTTTATGCTCGGCTGCTTGAAGCCTATCAAATGTACACCCCTATTGATCCAACAGAACCGGACAATGCTAGAATGCTTGCCATGGCTTTTATCTCACAAAGCGGCCCTGATATTCGGAGAAAGCTGCAAAGGTTGGAAGGAGCCTTAGGGAAGCCCATGAGTGAGCTGATGGAAGTAGCCAGGAAGACTTTTGTGAATAGGGAAAAAGAAGAGGAAAAGAAGAAAGATCAGAAAATGCAAAGGAAGGCTGAGCTGCTTGCAGTTGCTATGATGGGGGTGCCAAGGGGAGGTGGAAGAGGCAGAGGAAGGGGAACGGTGTTAGGACGGAACCAGTGTGCCATATGTAAAAGGGAAGGACACTGGAAGGGTGAATGTCCAGAAAGAGAGAGAGAGGAGGAACAAGGAGAGGGAAGAGGAAGATTTGCAAGATTTGCCAGAGGCTTCAGAGGTAATCCAAGAAGAAGCCAGGGAGGGAGAGGAAGAAGAGAAGGATCTTCAAGGACCCCCCTCATAGGCCTGGCCGAAACAGAAGAATGGGACTGAGGCCGACCGGGTTCAGCCCGCCTCCCAGAACCTGTGGTCAGTTTAACAGTAGGAGGCAAATCTATTCCCTTCCTCATGGATACTGGAGCCACCCAATCAGTCCTAACCCAGCCCCTAGGCCAAGCCTCCCCCCACTCTATCAATATACAAGCCGCAACAGGAAAAATATTACAGCGACCTTTTTTGGAGCCACTAAGTTGCACAATAGGGGGAAGAACAATCACCCACCAATTCGTCTACATGCCCGATTGTCCAATTCCGTTGCTAGGACGGGACCTGCTTTGTAAATTAAGGGCACAGGTCTCGTTTGAAGAGGACGGCACAATGGCCATTAATTATGGAAAAGTAACCATGGAAGTTCCCTGTGAAGAGGAATGGAGAATGGTGATGCTGGCACAAGCAGTAGAAGAAAATACCAAATGGAAAGAGTTCAATGTGCCACACCTGTGGGCAGAAGACAACCCCCCTGGTTTTGCAAAACATCCTCCAATTATAGTAGAAGAAATACCAACGAAAGTACCTATCAGAATTAGGCAACGTTCATATCCCAGGGTGGTAGCACAAGCTATCCAGGAGGTAATGAACCTCTATCTAGCTCATCACATCCTAGTCCCTATAGAATCAAAATGGAACACCCCAATTCTGCCAATACCTAAGGGGGAAGGGAAGTATTGGCCCGCTCAGGACCTTAGAGTTGTGAATCAAGCTACAGTCACTATCCACCCCGTGGTCCCAAATCCCTATGTCATTTTAGGGCTGATCCCCCCCCCACGGCTAAGTGGTTCTCAGTAATTGACCTAAAGGATGCCTTTTTCACAATACCCATACATAAGAAGAGCCAGCATTTGTTTGCCTTTGAATGGGAGAACCCCGTATCTGGAAGAAAACACCAATATGCTTGGACAAGACTCCCTCAAGGCTTTAAGAACTCCCCCACTCTCTTTGGAGCTGCATTAGGAAAGGACTTAGAGGACTTAGACATCCCCCACCCAGACGTAGTGCTGCAATATGTTGATGACCTATTAGTCACTGGTCAGACAGAAGAGGACTGCTGGCAGAATACTTATGCATTGCTTCAGCTCTTACAAGACAGAGGCTACAAAGCATCCCGGAAAAAAGCACAATTGGTAGCTACAAGAGTTAGATATCTGGGATATGACATAGAGGAAGGAAAGAGAACACTTGGACATGAAAGAAAAGGAGCCATTTGTCAGCTGCCCATCCCGAAAAATAGAAAAGAGTTAAGAGGTTTTCTAGGGGCTGCTGGCTTTTGCAGAATATGGATCCCTAACTTTAGCCTGATAGCAAAACCCCTGTATGAAGCAACCAAGGGAGGTGATAAAGAACCGTTGCAATGGGAGAAGCAAGAAGATAAGAGTTTTACAGCTCTCAAAGAAGCTTTAATGTGTGCTCCCAGTCTAGGGTTACCGAATTTGGAAAAACTCTTTCAATTGTTTGTAGATACAAAACAGAATGTGGCTGTAGGAGTTCTCACTCAGAAGATGGGGCCCTGGCACCGCCCGGTTGCTTATCTGTCTAAACAGCTTGATAATGTGGCTAGAGGGTGGCCGGCTTGCCTCAAAGCAATTGCAGGAGCGGCATTACTCACACAGGAAGCCAACAAATTGACTTTTGGGCAAAGATTAGATATCTACACACCCCATGCTCTTAAAGCTGTTTTAGAAGCAAAGGGGCACTTAGGGCTGACCAACCCAGCAGTCACATTGATTCAATCTAACTCACTGAATCCAGCCACGCTGCTGCCTGAACCAGACTTGGAAACCACACACAGCTGCATACAAGCAATTGAAGAGACTTACGCTAGTCGCCCAGACATGAAAGATGTTCCCCTGCTGAATCCAGACTTTACCTTATACACCGATGGAACTAGTTTTATGCAGGAAGGAATTCGAAAGGCAGGATATGCTGTGGTCACTTTGGAGGAAATATGGGAAGCCGAACCTCTTCCGCCCGGTACGAGTGCCCAACTAGCTGAACTGCATGCATTAACTAGAGCTCTGGAGTTAGCAAAAGGGAAGCGTATTAATATCTACACAGACTCTAAGTATGCATTCCTAACAGTGCAAGTCCATGGAGCCTTATACAAAGAAAGAGGACTCATAACTTCAGGGGGAAAGGACATTAAATATGGGCCCCAGATATTGCGTCTGCTGAATAGTGTGTGGGAGCCTCAGGAAGTAGCTGTAATGCATTGCAGAGGCCATCAGAAGGGAGCCTCAGAGATTCAAATAGGAAATAATAAAGCAGACAGGGAAGCTCGCAGTGCGGCTCTAAAGGCACCTACTGAACATACCAATTGTCTAGCCTTATGGACCCCTAAAGAACAAGAGCAGGTGAAACCAAACTATTCTCAGGAAGATTTGGACAAAGCTGAGATGTTGGAAGCAAGGTGTCAATGCTGCAAATACTGTATATTCTTGCTTTGACAATATGCAAAACTGTCTGGCATTTATTGGGTTAATACTTAGCTTAGACTGAGCGGGGAAAAAGCCCGGGAAAGAAAGAGGAAGTAAACGTTTGACCTTCTCACTAATTGGATAATGTGACCTGTGACTGCATGAGAAGGGAGGGGTTGAGCAAGGAAAGCTTGATGCCAGCGACAGGAAGTTCAGATTCTGGCATAACCAGTCCAACATGGTGACCGGCAAAAATTGTAGCTCTGCAAATAAAGACTTTAGGAAACATGCCTGAAAGTTCTTTGAAGTGCTTCATTAGTCGGAACATGTGACATCATGCCAGAATCCACACTTTTTTCAAACGATCTACGTCCCGATCT